TAATTTATGATGAAAATCGTGAAAAAGACCCACTTAGGATTTTCAGATCTGGAAAAGAAAGTATGTGCATATTCAACAGTGACTTGTTCTTCAACCTGCTAAGTTTCATTGATATCTGCTGTGGAATGTCTGTGAACATGTTAGAGATGTAAAGGAAACGAGACGGACGGAAACTGGAAATAAGAAACTATACTTTCTTTTCAACGCGGACTAAAAAGAGGAAGCTAAGTAATACATAGAGACACTACTGACTGTGATATGGATATATTAAGCGTTTAGTCAATTGACCATCACGCTTTGCAAGCTTCCAAACAGGGATTACCGACCACAGCAGTTTCAATAAAATTACTTACTTATTCAGTGATAATTTGTTTAATCATCAAAATGAAGAAAACTATGTAAGTTTGATTCCCATTGGCCGAAATTTGACATTTATTGCAATATTATATATTCAATATTATACTATGATTGCAATAAAATAAGTGGTCTCATACTGATTCGACCTTATATATAAATAAATGTATATACCTAAATGATTTAGTTTTGCAGCATCCCAGATTGGATCTTGTTTGCAATGATTCTAGTAACACGTAATATTGGAAAAAAACATCAAAGGCAGCGACGGTATATTTGAAGTCATTTCCTCAGTAAAAGAGCGAACAATACAAAAAAGACGTATAAATCGTATCGGAAAAATGCTTTAGAGAAGTATGTAAATGTGGGCGAACTATATCCGGACTGGGCATTTCTTGACACACTACGTACATCATTCCTCGCAGACTAGCTTGCATATCACCTGCATATCTAATATTTTCATGTAAAAAGTATCTATTGCCAAATAATGGACTGATTGAAATAGTCTATGACTGTGACATACTACAATACTACATCTTCCGAGTAATCCTTTATAATTATAAATGAATAAATCAAAATCTCTCTGCACATTGGTCACCGAACATTTTGTTTAAAGAAAAACGCACAAACACACTGACGATGCATAATACTACATACACATGATAGCACATGGATAATATATAGTTCACCAGAACGAAATTCTAAACTGACGTTCGTCTCAAATCTAGATAATATTAGTTAACGCGTAATAGTCGTCATAATTCCATTAATTAGTTAATTAGGTTTCTGAATGACATATTGATCCGTATATCATGCCTGTTTCAAAACACAGCAATTCAACAGTGGTTGGGTATATGATGTACCGACACGGCACATTGATGATGCCGCCATGCAGGGGTTTTCCATGAGAATTCACAAAATTTTCGTAAATCAGTACTTTTAACTTTGTAGTTGAGGTGGCTCATTAGCTGTGAAACCAACCAATCGGCAAATGGGATGTGAGCCAAAAATATCACCCGCCCTTTCTTTGTATCATGTGCAGCGGGCGGTTTAGGTACTTTATCCAAATTACGTATACTAATGACATGCGATCGTAATCACAGTCTTCACACACAAAAAATACACACACGTATAATATTTGTCAACGAGATATAGTCGTCAGAATTCTATAATTAAGTGGTTGTAAACAGCCAACTAGGTTTGTGACTGACATGTTGATCTATATATCATGTCCGTCTCGAAACACAGTAATTCAACATTCTTCGCGTATTTGGTACACCGACAAAGTACACTGATGTTTTACACAATGCTCGTAAATCAGTCCTTTGTAAACAAAGTGACACATTTACTGAATATTTTCTGTCGCAGTGCGGATCCGGTATCTCCTTTCTTGTGAAAAAATGTTTAGTGTGTCGTGGATGAATATGAGTTAGACTCCCATGGTTGACAAAAAGAGTAAAATCTTCCCACTTGCCAGACTGGCAGATTTGGGATAGTTGTGTCCGGTCGGAGAAGACGTAAAGCTGTTGGTCACGTGCATTGTTCTTGTCCTCACTGCAAATAAACTTTCCAGTTGTTCTTGTTATAAGAAGTAGTGGTTTCCACGGAAACAAAAATAAAGTATTCCTCTCAATGCATGTACATGTTGAGTTGTGATGTTTTCCAAGTTTGTAAATGAGCCAGAGTCAGTTGACAGAAACTAAATGTATGAGTGGGTAATATACATATAAAATCCGATAAATACCTGGACATGATTGGCTGGCTAAACCGGCTACACTTCGTTGTGTAACCTAATACACAAAACCGGTTTATTTATTCGAACCATTACATAATAATTAAATAAAACTTTAGACTTAGTTTTACCCAATGGAGTTCAAAACTTGTTGTGAAAGGTAGCAAGTGTATAAATACTGGTGTGGAAATGCGGCGGAGGATCGACCTGTTTATGTTATTTTTTGTGCTGTCCTGAGTAACACGTTTTTATGTATGTGTGTGTGTGTGTTTGTTTCAAATTGGCTACAGTAGACTAGCTCCAACCAGGCATACTTATTACCACGTTTTAAACGTTTACATATGTCAACCAATTCAATTACTGAACTTTTTAAAACAATTTTACAGCATCTTAACGTTGCATTCTCACTGTACATGGTATGCTAAATATATTTCTCATTGATCCCTGTAAGCTTCTACTAGTATTTTAGCATATCCCTTAAAATAAAATCAGCCATACACATAGTCTATAGTTGTTATACAAATGAAATTTAACTTTGATTATGTATTATAAACAATGTGACATTGTTTCTGTCAAGTGCAATTGATTTTGTCAAAGGCAATTAATGTTTGTCAAACCAATTGGTTTTTATATTTATTCACGGTGATCACAATACTGGATAGAAGGTGTTTTGCATATCATACGTAATCAAATGCAAGTGTATACCATATGGTAATACACCCATATATTTGTTTGCTCCTTTCGACGTGAGTACACGCCCCGGCTATGTCGGCCATGACCATATGTTACACGCGAAGTTGTCATGTATATATAATCAGTACATGGATCGGGAAATAAAATATGCGTTTCAACCCAAAGTATCCTTATTATGGGTATTTGTGTATGTACCATAAATAAATGTATTACAGACAGTATGCGTTACACCTTAATGCTCTCACTCATCTCGTTAAACCCACAATCGGACCAGTTGTATGGATTTAGTCACCTCAATGTAAAGACGCATGTCTGAATATAGACTGGTATAGACGATTGAGAACAACCTCAATTTGAGCAAAGTCTTCGTTTGAGGTTTGCTCCATACTTATGCCTGTAATCATTTGTTTGAACCTATGTTACATATCTAGATGGAAAATCTACATCACACTTAGGTGTTATTGAGCCACAAATAGCATGTTACTAAATAACATAGAAGTGAATATCAAATATCAGATACACCTTATAAAAGCTGTATTTAAACTGGAAATATTAGCAGCAAACTAACTAATTAATAGGTAGAGTAAATGCTACACCCAAGCGTCTCATATAACATTGAGATTGTCTCACACATATTTTAACTGTTAACAAAATATCTTGTTTGGTGTAGTTTAAAGCAAAGTCTTCTGACAAGAACAAACATACCTGACTGTCAAGATTAACACCAGACCATACCCCGGCAAACTGCCATGTGTTGGTTTGGTAAGCCCAAACCTGTAGCTGTAGTGATTAGTGTATACATTTAACACATTTGCGCCCCTACATATATCTCAATGCACGGCAAAGACTATGTGGGATGAGTCATATTAGAAAGTTTTATTGGTATTTTGATGTAGATTGATTCCTTTTCATGGCTTGTGCGACACATGTAGTTTTGTATTGAAATGACTTTGAACCTACCACTCGTCTATCAGAGTTCAACTAAGGCAGCCATACTGTTACGCAGTCTATGCATGGCCACGCCAATGTTACGAGCTGGCATTTACAAGAATCAACCGACAGAATGAAAATCCCTTGTTTTGAATGTGTTTGAATCAATTGCGTACCCACTGAAGTGAACCGAGGAACTGTTAATTGTCCGAGTTTTAACGACAATTTATTTGAGTTGCCATGTATGACATCTTGCCCACGGTGCAACTCTTTATCTTTGCCGGTTCACAGTAACATTCAACATTCGATTTCATCCCACCGTAATGAAAATGTTCATGGTCTGTGACTACAGAGTTGGATGGCATAAATACTCAATTGGCTCATAACTGATCTCTTTCTTTGAAAATCCCTGATAGAAGTGGAAATGCATGCTCTTCTTCGTACGTCTAGATGTATATAAAACAACGCAAATACTATGCTGATTCAGATTCATAGAACGTTTGAATAATATCGGGTTGGAAATTTATTTTTTAGTTCCATTACTTTAGAAGTGATGGAATTAAAATGCGATGACTATCAGAGAAAAGACGATATTAAAAGAAATACAATGGATTATTATACTTGGTTCCTAGTCGGGTCTACCAAATTATTGCTTGGTCTTCAATGGGTTATACTAAATGAAAGCTTCATCTATAATGGATATACTAAATCATAGCTTGGTATATAGTGGAGTGACTAAATAATAACTTGATCTAATGAATGTCTCACTTCACTGTCGACGAATGCACCAATCGCATAGTGCGATGTCAACCACAAAGAACCCGCCAGTTAGATGTTACCGACGCAAAACGCATCAAAGTGGCCTTGAGATGAAGTAACGTGGGTACTTTCGAGTAGTGCTAGCACTATGACATAATTATATCACATTAATCATTAACGATGAACTGATTACAGGGGTCCATATACCGCTCAGAAGCGAGTGGTTAACGACTTGTCTAACCCAGGCAACTCTCATTAACTCTGATTGCAGTCACAAGGTAAGCCAACATATTTCTCTGCCTAGGCGATAGTATAGTGCTTCGCATCAGAGTGTTTCTGGAGTGGATTTAAAGAGCAGATTGTATACTCAACACTATAAATTTGAGTAGAGTTTGCCCTGCCTTTGAAGCACGCTGTATTGGTGTAACTCCTTCGGAGTGATGTCTATTTGTTTTGCGCTTTGGCGCCGTTTAAGTGCTGTTTTACCTTCTGGTGCATAGCGCCCTCTGGGGTTGAAGGTCTCCAGCGAAGATTAAATAGTTATGACGCAGTTGTAATGTGCGTCCACTTTCTCTAGTTTTTCATGACTATTAGCTGTGACCCGGAAACGAGGTATGATTTTATAGTTTTTTGAATATACACCGATTTCAGTCGATATGATTTTGTGTAATTTTGAAGTCTTTTGCAAGAGAAATCGACAGTTTTCTGATCGTGAACCCGAGTGGTATAAAATGGTCGTGTTGTGTTGGTCTGACATATGACCCCAATTCGTTCGCACTTGTATTAGCCGTTGATGGCGTTTTACCGCACTATCTCATTCAGAATAATATGTTATTGTATTTGTGTACTTAAGATTGTTATTGTTTTATTTTGCTTCACAATTTTATGTGATTGTGATTGTGATTGCCAATGTGAACTGTGATTAAGGACCACATGACTGATTTATCGTGATTCATGTGAATAAGTTGAACACAGTGAAG